GAGTCCATGCATATATACAGTGTTGTCAAATTACTTGGTGAATTTTCAGTGAAGTTAAGTGACTGAAGGATAACCACGTTCTATTACCAGTTATCAGTCCATTAATGAGATGCCTCGACTCTCTCTCACCGACCTGTCTCTACAACACCTGCGGGTGATGTGAGGTATGTGAGGTATGGGCGGAGGGGGTGTGAGGGCAGGGGAGGGGGGTGGACGGGAGAGGGGTGTTGACGAGGGGGGGTGGGCAAGGGGTGTGGGGTGAGGGGTAGACGTGAGGGGGGGACGAGGGGGTGTGAGGGGGGTAGGACGGAGGGGTTGACGGAGGGGGGTGGACGTAAGGGGGGTGGGCGGAGGGGTGTAGACGTGAGGTGGACGAGGGTGGACGTGTGGGATGTGGACGTGAGGGGGTGTGGACGAGGGGGGTGTTGACGTGAGGGGGTGTAGACGGAGGGGGGTGTTGACGGAGGGGGTGTGGACGTAAGGGGGTGTAGACGGGAGGGGTGTGGACGCAAGGGGTGGTGAGGGGGTGTAGACGGAGGGGGTGGGGGGACAGAGACGAAGGGGGTGTGGACGTGAGGGGTGTGGACGAGGGGTGGACGGAGGGGGGTGTGGACGTGATGGGGGTGTTGACGTGAAGGGGTGTGGACGGAGGGGTGTGGACGTGATGGAGGTTCCTTAGTTGCTGTGATCATTAGATATTCAGTTTGGGGAAGGTAAACAATTATCTTTATTAGAGCCCACTAAAGTTATCTCTTAAACCTGGATGTAGTAAGTAAGGCAGGGAACCACTGTGTAACCTGGTCTTAGTTACATATTATAATTGGGTTGTAATCCCACGCCGGATGACATTCAAGCGTGATAATTAGACCCAAGTAGTTAGTTAAGTTGGCTAAGGTCGTTCCGGTGGGAGGCTGTTATCTCTCAGAGCCTTTGGTATGGTGTAGGTAGTGTGGTAGTAGTATGGTGCTTGTGATGATGGTGTTGTGGTAGTGTTGTAAAGGAGACTTGTGGTGTTATGGTAGAATTATGTTGTGGTGTCTCTCTCTCCAATTTTTACCTCGCTATAAAGTTTTCTGTCTTGGTTCATATATGTAAAACCTCCTTCACAAACCATTAAACCCGTTTCAGCTCGTGGTTTATCCTCGTTCCATGTTGCAGGTTTATAAATGTTGCATGTTGCAGGTTTATTAAGAATGTTGAATGTTGCAGCAGCTCTTGTGGACTCTGAAATATTGCCAGATTAAATTTACCTGGTCGGTTATGTGTGTGTGTGTGTGTGTGTGTGTGTATGTGTGTGTGTGTGTGTGTGTGTGTGTGTGTGTGTGGTGAGTGAGAGAGAGGCATTCTTTTCTCCCTCTGTTTGTTGGAATGACTCTGATTTTCTGTCTGTTTGGTTAGGTCTCAGTATCTCCTTTTATCTTTCTGTCTGTCTGTCTGTCTAATTATTATCTCTCTCTCTCTCAATAATTCGTGTTCATAAGCTTACATTGTGTTCACCATGAATAAGTAACCAGCTTAACCTCCCATAACCGGGGGGAAGGTTAGCCCCCATCACCGGGCCACGCGAACATTGTTCATGTCTTACCTCACTGTTAAATATCTTCTTTATTATATGACCAAATTCAACCCAACTTGTTCTCATCCAACTAAATCTACTTTATGATTGATTAGGTTTAGTTTATTCCTAAGAAAGTATTAAAAGTATTATGTATTTTTAATCAAGTTCTCATAAAGTAATGCGTTTTTCGATGCGTCTTATAAGAAAAATTTATATTCGTGAAAAGTAGAACTCGTTGGAATAACAAAATTTATACATTCGAACTGACAAGGAAGAAAATGAGTGATAGAAAATTGGCCAAAGCTTAAACTCTGGGAGAAGTTGAGAAAATTTTTAAATATAACGAGAGGAAAGTGAAGGAAAGATTGTAGTAAAGCTAAGATTGAGGTCGCTGAGAAAAGAAAGGCAAGAGCAAAGACAGGAGGAAATTCAATGTCCACCAACCTCGTGCACTGAGGACGACGTCGACAAAGGTCACTAAATTTCGTCAAGATTTTCCGGATTTTGGTGGTAGACTTTAATTTTTTTTAAACATCTTCCTCTAACTTATAAAAAATATATAAAATAATTTAGTCCATCCACTAGTATCTATAAAAGAAATAATCTAAAATCATCCGCATTGATTTGGTTGACTTGTGCCTGTTGTCATCATGAATGGAAGTTTAGGCCAGTAACCTCCCTCAACGATTGTTTACATGACAGGACGAGGTGCGAGTGACACTTTGGCAAAATTAATTTGTACTTTTTTTTTTTTTAGAAATTATACATCGACTGGCAGAATCAGAAGGGAAAGAACACATATGCTATAGAAATTATATAGAAAAAAAGTAGCTAAATATGTAGTTTATTCGCGAATCTATTCATTGTTGGTTAACTTAGCTGCATGATCAAAGGAGATGGGCTAAAGTGAGCTACAAATTTTTGACCAGCGGGTGTATTTTGAGCAACAGAAACTACCCAGTTGAAAATGTTTAGCAAATAGATAATGAAACTATCCACTGGTCTTGTATGGCCCAGACATCATCGAAATAATAAGTTTGCTGTTATAGTATCAACACCTAATTTAACTTTGCTTAACCTAAACTCTTGACACGATCCGACGAGACTTATAAGTTTAGAAAAGTCTTATAGATATTTTCCATCTCGTTAACTCCTGAGCTTTTAGTATTTTGGTCTTGTTAGTGCATAGTGGTGTGTATACTGTATACATAGTGGTGTGTATACTGTATACATAGTGGTGTGTATACTGTATACATAGTGGTGTGTATACTGTATACATAGTGGCGTATATACTGTATACATAGTGGTGTGTATACATATTGGCGTATATACTGTATACATAGTGGTGTGTATACATAGTGGCGTGTATACTGTATACATAGTGGTGTGTATACTGTATGCATAGTGGTGTTTATACATATTGGCGTATATACTGCATACATAGTGGCGTATATACTGTATACATAGTGGTGTGTATACATATTGGCGTATATACTGTATACATAGTGTATACTGTATACATAGTGGCGTATATACTGTATACATAGTGGTGTGTATACTGTATACATAGTGGTGTTTATACTGTATACATAGTGGTGAGTATACTGTATACATAGTGGCGTATATACTGTATACATAGTGGTGTGTATACATATTGGAGTATATACTGTATACATAGTGGCGTATATACTGTATACATAGTGGTGTGTATACTGTATACATAGTGGTGTGTATACTGTATACATAGTGGCGTATATACTGTATACATAGTGGTGTGTATACATATTGGCGTATATACTGTATACATAGTGGCGTATATACTGTATACATAGTGGTGTGTATACTCTATAAATATTAACATCTTATGCACCTTGTTATTACTTTACATAATGTGAGTTGTAAAGACAGAGAGGATAGTTGGCATAAAAATAATGACAATATAAAACAATAATATTAAACAAAGACAAACATAAACAGAGAGACTGAGGCAGACAGACATAGAAATATACACAGATATATAAAGCCACAGACAGACAAGAAGTATAGTTGCTGATACATAGACAGACAGACGGAGTGAGACAGATGCTCAGACATAACCACAAACAGACAGAGAAACAGAAATGAACGAGAACAAGTGGCATTATTTTTGTGATCCACGCCACACACACACACACACACACACCATGAGAGCTTTTACACAAGATTAAACATTATTTTAACTACATTTCTCACCTAACGACAAATATACAGTACATAGTTAATATATTGAACTACTGTATAAAGATTAACTGTGTATTGTATTACAGGTGTGTTTAAATGATTTCTCTCTCTCTCTCTCTCTCTCTCTCTGGTCAGGTAATTCTCTTTCCCCGCTTCAAAAAACACCAACTATGGAATGAAGATCTAGTTTATTGGATGACTGTAATTGGTTATGGGTAATGGTTAGTGATGACTCTCGTGATCCCCTTGACGTGCGTGACCACTGAAATGTGACCCCTGGGATGTGACCCCCTGAAATGAGACCCCCTGACCTGTGACCCCTGAAATGTGACCCCTGGGATGTGACCCCCTGAAATGAGACCCCCTGACCTGTGACCCCTGAAATGTGACCCCTCAACTATGACCCCTGATCTCTGACTTACATATTCCCAGATCGGGTCACCTGAAGATTAGGTACCCACCTGATGATTTAACACCCGAACGCTGCTTGAGGGGTTGGGTTGGGTTATGTAAGGTTGGGTTGGGTTAGGCTGGGTTAGGCTAGGCTATGGGTTTGGTTAGGTTGAATTAGGTTAGGTTATGCAAGGTTGGTTTACGTTAGATAATGTAAGGTTGGGTTAGGTTAAGTTAGCGTCAAGATGTATAATCAGATGAAGTAAACTGGGGTGCCTAATTTTCAGGTGATCCCTAAAATTCAATCCATTATTTATCATTGTTTTCCTCTTACGCAAATTTTCATCAAAGTCAGACAAATTGTTAATCAACTGAAGTATAAAATTTCCGACGTAAACAAATATCATTCTGGGTTAATTACTATCAATAGACAGTTCGTTAAAATGTATATATACTGTATATAATAAACTTCTTCAAACAACTTTAACAAAAGCTGATAAATTTCGGCCAAATATGAGAACAAGAGAGTGTGGTCAGTATACGTCTGTCACGGCTTTTGTTTACGATTTTGTGACCCGCGTTTAGTATTCCCCAGCAACCAGGCCTGCCAACCTCCCATCAGCACTCACGCCTGCCAACCTCCCGTCAGCACTCACGCCTACCAATATTCCCGTCAGGACTCACGCCTACCTACCCTTCCATCATCATCACTCTCTAACATAAACATACAAGCACAAACACACATGCAAACATATTCAACCAAATTTAAATATAAACACGACTAAAGATATTTGTATGACAGAATGTTTATTATTTTCGTCTCTTTCAGGTGGCCTTCATGGTGACCACAGCAGAAAACGGGAACATCCCAGACAGGGGGACTGAGGTAAACAGTGGGTCCCCTTGGTCTGTGTCGGAGAAGGAGACCCAGGATACCAGCTGGGCGCCTGAAGGGGTGGATCCACAAGACACTTCGTCCTTAGATGATGAAGGCGCTGAAGGTGGAGGTGCAGGATTGGCCATCGATTTGAGTTTGTTCGACTCAATCAATGGTGAGTGTTTGTCTTGCTTTATTTTATTTTATTTTGTTTTTTTAAGGGGGAGGGGCGACATTATTCCGTGTGTTGCAGATAGGAGTGTTTGCTCTCTCTGTTACTAATTTATATCAACGCTGATGAGTTTAGTTATCTCTCTCTCAAAATATAATTTAATACTTATCAAATTTACGTGCCTCTCGATTTCTTTCCGAGACGAGAGGGAAAATATGAGACCAGCTTCTGAAATATGAACTATTTATTCACCGCCAGCTTCCCTGCGATAACTTGTGGTGACGCCAGAGTTGCTTATAGACGCTTACTTGTAGACGCCTCCACTTGGTGTTTGAAAATCGCTGATGTGAATTTATTCAACTCTTTCAAAAGTTAATACTTGAAGTGCTGCGACTCCAACTCTCACTTGAGGAAGAGTCCGACAGTAACTTCTAAACTGCTTTCAATACCAGTTCTTGAAGCACTTGGAAGCGAAGCCATTAAACACTTTGAAGCTAAGTCTTGAAGCCTTTTATATGTATACTCTTTTGAAATGCTGTACATGAACCTTTAAAACACATCACATAACTCCTACGGTGAGGCTGAGCTACAGTATACATTAATATTCACTACAGTCAAATAAATAGTTTTAGGGAAAATATTAAAACTAAACAACGCATCACGGAGAGTAAAGAACCTTTGAGTAAGATTAAGCTTACATGAAGCACTGCTGGGTACATAGTGTATTAATTAGTAATAACCATAATCAATAGCTAATCCTCATAATAGTGTCTCTGTCCTCTCAACTCAACCTGTAAACCCTATCCCCATAATTCCATAATGATCATTGTTAAACACATTACCCCGCCGATCCACAAAAGACTCATCACCAGGTTGGTATTGAAGCCATTTACTCTCAGACACTAATTACCAATCTGGGGAAGCACTAATGTGGAGAAATTTTGCAGGGAAAATCACGAGAGGTAAACTGTGGGCTTCCTGTACTGCTGCTCTGACATAACTGACCTGAATTTATTTGTCCTTTGCTCCTAGATTTATGTGGGTGCGATTGGCGGGTGGATTTAGCACTCACCCCCTGACATATATGTCGCCGGTTCGAGTCCCGCTGCCGGTCACTGTGTTTCGCCATTAATTGGAATTTTATCTAAAACACTTCACCAATTCCTCCCCTCCCCTTCCCCACCCTCCCTTCCCTCCTCTTCTCCCCTCTTACCCTTTCACAGCCGATCTGTTTCCTCACGTTATTTTTTTTGTCTCTGTTTTCAACGTCAGTTCGTTAATGAATTCAAATCCATCTTCCTCATCCCACCTCTTCATCTCGGTCTTAACACACGCCATTCTTCATAATGCTTCCCCATACTGCATGCAGATTTCATTTAGTCGAACTTTATTATAATTTACCACCACCTTCACTACCTTGTCTTACTCTTGTCGTCTCGGAAACTCCCTGGCCTCTGACGTCTCTCCATCTGTCTACAACTTACGTCATTCACTCACCTCTTATGATACAGTACATTTCAAATCTTCTTTCTTCTCCGTGGTGTACTGGGTAAGCCTAAAAGTGTAAATATTGCTCACTTGTCGGTTATATTGACCTTCAGAGGAAAAAATATGTTTAGCTCCTATTAGATCAACACAAGTATTAAAATAAGAAATATTCACTGATTCACTCCCACGCTACATATTCCCGCCTTTATCACTTACTCATGTTTTTCAGCTCTTTCTGGTCGAACTCTCCATCTCGAGCTGCTTTCCACTCATTGAAAATATTATTACCAATATTTACTCTCAAAGTCCAGTCTTTTTATGTCATTGCTGTTCCAATCGCAGCGTTTTACTTGTTAGTTTCTCTCAAGAGTAACTTTCCCGCCATTTCCACTTAAACCACAGCGTATTTCCCGCCATTTCCACTCAAACCACAGTGTATTTCCCGCCATTTCCGCTCAAAGCATAACATATTGCCCTCCATTTTCACTTTGGCGCGAGACTGACCCTCCATTTCTCTTAAAGCGATAAACTTCTGCCGCATTTTCACTCCTTCAAGATCGATGACTTTTAACCTTTTAAAGTCTATTCCGTTGTCGCAAGAATCGTAAATTTCGCCTTGAAACTTGAAACCTCGTGAATTAAGAGAGTCATTAATCGCGGGGCAGAGAGAGCGAGTCTCCAAACAACACAGATAATGGTGAGAGTGTGAGATCCCTTAAGAATCATAAATGGCGTCACTTTGGGAGGTCGTATGTCTTGGAGCTTGGCTTGGAGAGGAGTAAACACACACCTTTTTAAGACCAGTTTGTTGATCCTGGAACTGATGTAAATATCCCACTAATTCAGTGTATAAGATCGTATATAACACCGCCTCACTCTACTTAATAAACAATGATGAATTCTCTGAGGTTTCTTATAATTAAATTTACCCCTAATTAGAAACTTTTAAGAGCGTATCTCATCGTCTCACTACGACACAAAGACCTGGAAAATGACGTTGAAATTATACAGTAACTAGGAGCGTTATTTTTTATCCAACTTAGGAGGAAAAAATTACGACCAAGGAACTTATCTTTGAGAACCTGACCACCGACCGTTGTGTGCTATTTAAAGATTAGTTGGGTCATTACCTAATACCTGACCATTGTGGACCTGGTCTCACCCTCCTCTGTATATATACACCTTGGTTTGTATTTCTCTTTAGTCTGTACTCACCCCTGAAGATGTGAATTACACGAAAGCGCTTGGGAACGTCGTGTTTTCTTCTTTCCTTGTGGTTATAAGCATATACCTAGATCACGCGCACCTACAGTGATTTACTTGCATATATATATATATATATATATATATATATATATATATATATATATATATATATATATATATATATATATATATATATATACAAAATTATGTTGCAAAAATATGACACAAAGGACGAAGGATTTTGAAAACCCTACCGAGACAACAGGAGTCAGTGTTCATTCTGAAATTCATCGATCACCCCCAAGTACAGATAGCTTATGAGTGACTATACCACAACACATTTCATATTTAACACCAACATTTACGTTGAATTTTGATTGTTCTCGATAAAGAATAAACATTCTCGTATATCAGCACACCCAAGGCCATGAAAACACACTCGGTATAAACCGTAGTTAATACCTTGTTACTCTCCCGGCAGCTGTATACACGTCACCGGAGAAACATACACGTCAGCTTCATTATTAATCAGTAGAGATGTAAAAAAATATGAGCAAGTGTCACGGTAAGTAATTATGTAAAGAGAAAGATGTTGTAAAAATCCTCTTAACATGATAGGTTCTCATCGCTCAGTTTATTTTTGAGTTTATGAAGCATTTGTGAGAGTGCTCGAATCTTTTGACTGAAGCATTTACTTGTGTTTAATTGTATTTACGAGACCTGTCTGTCTGTCTGTCTGTCTGTGAATAACTAGGCAGTAATGGGATCAGGTTTCTCACGTCTCTATAAATATATCAATTGAAATTCTCGAAAAAAAAATTACCAACAGTATTTCCTTTATATCAATACCTCCAGCCCCTTCCCATCCCCTCATCTTCATCCCTTCCCCCGTCTGCCTTCCCCTTTCCATCCCCCTTTCCCTTCACACCCCTTCACCTCCCCCTCCCCTCATCCTCCCTCACCTCTTCGCTCCATCCCCCATCACCTTCCTCCCTCCCCTCTGTTTTCTTTCAATTATAACCAACAAGGTACTGACAGATACCCAATTTGTGGTCTATTTTGTCATTTAACTCAGTAAGGAATTGGAAGTAGAAGTACTGTCCATGGCCCTCCTTCAATAAATCCTGTGAAGTTATAAAGAGGAAATCACTATGAAAACTGTTGATGGTGGTACGTTTTTTACTCCTCTTGAATATAAAATGAAATACTTTTTAGTTTTTGATAAACAACTTTTATCTTATCTTTTATATTGTACTTTTCCTCAACCACCCCAAAACAAAAATAATATTCACCCTAGTTCAATATTCCTCTACATAAAATGGTGGCAGCGGTGTTTTTCTATATATATATTTCCATCGGGGGAAAAAAGTACTATGCATCTTTTTACCTTAGAATCGGTGAGCTGAGAAACTGGTAGAGGCAGTGTTTTTATATCTCGTTTCGGAATTAAAATAGATGTGTCCTTTTAGATAAGATTCACTGAGAAAATATTAATACCGGATTTATATATCACAGAAATCTCAGAAAACACAGGAAAAATATCCCCTGTATATTTTTATCTGGGAATCGCTGAGACTTGACCGAGGTATTTCTATATCCTATCTCAAGGTAAAAGAAAAAAGTCCCGCAGTCTTTTTTTTTCTTGCTTGTGTGTGTGTGTGTGTGTGTGTATGTGTGTGGCCAAGTCATCAGTATAGAAGGATCACCAAATTGGTTGTCAGTAGCAGACCTGAAGCAGCTTGACGCCATACCACCACTACCCAAAGCTTTATATGGAGATACACTATTGTTGTGATGGACGTATCGCTGGAAACAAAAGCAAAACGACAGTCTTCTGAAAGTAGACAACCTTTTTTTTGTTTGGTTGGGGGGGGGGGTTATGTATTATATTGTGTTTGTTGAAATACTGTAGATTATTTGTGTATTGAACAAGTAAACTCAAATATGTTATTGTTTTTGTTTTTTTATTATTATTGTTATTATATGTTATCTATGGAATTAAAAATATTCATGTGGGTGAACCTGACTTGACCAAAAAAAAATAAGAGTTACTGTTTGAAAATATAATGACCAAGTTGATGATCGTCATTTTGTTCCAGCAAATAAATACAAAGGAAAACAGGAAAAAGAAAAACACAATGTGTCATGTAGTTTATAGTAATGTTTGAGTGTTTGCCAACGATCCTGACTTGTAAGAGAACCAGAACCAGAAAGTAATTATGTTATACTCATTATGTTGTTGTTGTTGTTGTTGTTGTGTTAGGGATTAGAATAAACACGTTAATGAATGTCACTAATTAAAAAAACTG